CTGCGGACACAGTACAGGGATGACCAGAGACTGCGGACACAGTACAGGGATGACCAGAGACTGCGGACACAGTACAGGGATGACCAGAGACTGCGGACACAGTACAGGGATGACCAGAGACTGCGGACACAGTACAGGGATGACCAGAGACTGCGGACACAGTACAGGGATGACCAGAGACTGCGGACACAGTACAGGGATGACCAGAGACTGCGGACACAGTACAGGGATGACCAGAGACTGCGGACACAGTACAGGGATGACCAGAGACTGCGGACACAGTACAGGGATGACCAGAGACTGCGGACACAGTACAGGGATGACCAGAGACTGCGGACACAGTACAGGGATGACCAGAGACTGCGGACACAGTACAGGGATGACCAGAGACTGCGGACACAGTACAGGGATGACCAGAGACTGCGGACACAGTACAGGGATGACCAGAGACTGCGGACACAGTACAGGGATGACCAGAGACTGCGGACACAGTACAGGGATGACCAGAGACTGCGGACACAGTACAGGGATGACCAGAGACTGCGGACACAGTACAGGGATGACCAGAGACTGCGGACACAGTACAGGGATGACCAGAGACTGCGGACACAGTACAGGGATGACCAGAGACTGCGGACACAGTACAGGGATGACCAGAGACTGCGGACACAGTACAGGGATGACCAGAGACTGCGGACACAGTACAGGGATGACCAGAGACTGCGGACACAGTACAGGGATGACCAGAGACTGCGGACACAGTACAGGGATGACCAGAGACTGCGGACACAGTACAGGGATGACCAGAGACTGCGGACACAGTACAGGGATGACCAGAGACTGCGGACACAGTACAGGGATGACCAGAGACTGCGGACACAGTACAGGGATGACCAGAGACTGCGGACAGTACAGGGGATGACCAGAGACTGCGGACAGTACAGGGGATGACCAGAGACTGCGGACAGCACAGGGATGACCAGAGACTGCGGACAGCACAGGGATGACCAGAGACTGCGGACAGCACAGGGATGACCAGAGACTGCGGACAGCACAGGGATGACCAGAGACTGCGGACAGCACAGGGATGACCAGAGACTGCGGACAGCACAGGGATGACTGCTGACCTTTGGGGAGGGAGGGGGAGCGGGTACCTGAATTTGACAGGTACCCGCTCTTACTTCCGCAGAGTTTTTTTTTTTATCTTACCTGTTCCTTTATCCAGCCGCACGTTGTCTTCCCGGCTTCTGTAGTGTGGGCGCTCGTCGGACAGCCGGATGCCCAGTGCGCATGCACGAGAAGCACTGCGCTTTGTGATTGGTCCGGCGGCTTCTGGGATCTGTAATGTGTCCCAGGTACCGCCTTACCATTCACAAAGAGCACTGCTTCTTGTGCATGCGCACTTGGGACCCGGCTGTCACGCACACTACAGCCGGGAAGACAGCGCGCCGCTGGATTCTCCTGGCGTGCCCACAGATAAGGCTCGGCGTGCCGGCTGTGGCACGCGTGCCACGGGTTCGCCATCACTGCCCTAAGATATCTGCTGAGAGGCATGTTGAGTCCATGGAAGATTTTTTTTTTTTTCCACAAGTTTTTGGAAAATGACAAAAACTTTTTTTTTTTTTCTTTTTTACACAAAGTTGTCACCTAAATGATATATTGCTCACACAAGCCATAGATATATGTGGAATTCCACCCCAAAATACATTATGCTACTTCTACCGAGTATGAGGATACTACATGTGTGAGATGTTTTGGGAGCCTAGCCACATACAAGAGCCTGAAATGAGCCAATGACCACTTTGAAAGCCTGAAGGTGCATAACTTTCTCATTTCACTTCCTCACTACCTATCAGTTTCAGAGGCCCTGAAATGCCAGGATAGCACCAACCCCCCCCCCCCCCAAATTACCCCTTTGTGGAGAGTAGACACCCCCAAGGTATTTAAAAAGGGGTGTGGTGAGTATTTTGCAGATCTAATTTTTTCTCACAATGTTTTGAAATCTAAAAAAAAGAAAAGAAAAAAATGTTTTTGTTTTCTTCATTTTCCAAAAACTTGTGGCAACAAACTAGATCTGCAAAAAATACTCACCATGCTTCTTATCAAATTCCCTGGTGTGTCTACTTTCCCAAAAGTGGTCATTTGGGGGAGTTTGGAGCTATCTTGGCATTTCGGGGCTTCCGAAACTGTGGTAGGTAGTCAAGAAGTGTAATGAGGAAATAAAGCCCTTTAACTGCTTAAGGCCCGCCCACAGTACATTTACTGCTGCAGGGTGGGCCCGCTGCACAAAAAAGTGTGTGTGTGTGTGTGTGTGTGTATAAATATATATGTGAATCGCGCTCCCGTGATTTTTGCGGGTTGGTGGGGGGGCCCCCGATTTAATCCACGAGGGATCAATCATCCAATTTAGGCCAGTGATGTCCAGCCTAAGTCGGATGATCGATCCCTGTCCTATCCTGTGTTGACAGTCACCAGTGTCATTAGTACAGTTTACAGATTTTTTGCTGATCACTTTATTAGTGTCGCTGGTAACTTCAGATAGCGTTAACATCAGCGCCCCTCCAAGGTAGCGTCAGATTGCCCGTTAGTACACCAGTAATCACATTTAACCCCTTGATTGCCAGGAACACGCTCATACACAATAAACCTCCATTGCAAGTATAGTGTCTGAACGGATCAATATCTTTGATCAGATCAGCGCTATATCAGCATTCACATTAGTGTAGTGTCCCCAAAAACGCAGTGTTAGCGGAATCAGCCCCGGCACCTGCCAGCACCTTTTTGCAGCAGTTCAAGCAGTCCCTGACAGCCAACCATAGTGTAGTAAATAAGACTCTCTTTTTATTAAATAATAAAATGCCCACTCACTTTGTTGAACTCTGGTACAATGACATAGTAAACCTCATGCCTGGGTGTACTGCATGAGTTAGGATTAGTATGGGTGTTCAAAAAAGGCTCTGCGCCAGATGTGTGTCACCGCGTACCAGAAGCTGCGTCACGGCATATCTACGCGTTGCGTCACTCAACCACGTGACTTCATCAAGATATCACCATTGGTGCGCAGCTATCTTATCTATAGGGAACCTGGTTGACGGTAATGCGAATTCATAGAAAATAGATCCATAAACTTGGAAGAAATATTTAACCAACCTGAGTGTGGATCAGTGGGTGACCTAGATACTCATTATAGGAAGCTATGTCACATAATGGAGAAGGTCTCCACGTGGTGGGATATTGTTACCCATGAAAAATATCTAAAAGATAAACTGGTACCCAGGAGGTTATGGTGGGATGTGCCCATTTGTGATGGGTTAACGGATCCTGAGGCAATAGATGAATGGTTCAATTTCTTTCACGAAAGAGGATTGGAACTGGTTCAATTTCTTTCACGAAAGAGGATTGGAACTGGTAAAAGTCTTATTAAAGAGAAAACAAAAGAATTGAGGAATTTGAGGAATTTAGAAGCTCAAATAGGAGAAATTAAAGTAAAATTAGAACCGTTCAAAGAAACCCCGGAAATGCTTAATTTGACCAAACGTCTCAATAAAGATCTTGAGAACTTAGACCAGGAGCTTAAATATAGAAAGTCTAAAGAATATCAAAGGGATCTAAATGATCTGAAGAAAGGCCAAGTATTTAAATGGCAGTCCCCTGTAAATGAAGTAAAGGCTAATTCAGCCAATACCACTCCGGTTAAAGAAAAGAAAATTATGGGTGACAGTTCTATGTATCCAATTAGGGAACCAATCAAAGGACCTAATCAAGCTCATAATAATTTTAATCCCCGTATGTACCAAACACCCAGGAATGGGTGGAGACCTAGGAATGGGGGTACTGGATATAGAGGGCCACAGGGAAGAGGCCATTCTTATACTCGGAAGCCATATTTTCAGAATAATAGACCCAATTTCCATCCAGGACAAAGTTATAATGATGTTATTTCATTTATAAACATAATGTTTATTTCAATTGGCTCTATACAATGCTTTTGTGCTTTGCAAAGCAACTGGACGAAGTGGATCCTTCCTAAAATTCCAGGAAGAGATCATCACGGCCCTTTTGTATCCAGAAGGTTCTATGCTGCAAATCTCCAACACAAATGCAGTTAGCCGGCTGAAGAGAGGCATTTTCCTGATGCCATTCCTGATACCATGACTCAAAGGCTCCCCAAAAAAGATGTTGTGTTTGTAGCAGGCCTGGAATTAGGCGTGACACGGTTTTTTTTGTTCCTCCTGTCTTGACCAACCTGGTCTCTGCCTCAAGGACTGCTTCCGTCGCTACCACACACTAGTGGAGTATTAGTATAGGATACAGCACAGCACAATTCAGGGCACATATTTACACAGGGTCTCGAAAGATGTTAGGTAGCCAGGAAACTGGCTATTGCATTTGGAGAGACCCTACAATCTGTTTTTAAAAAGTTAGTTTAAAAAAAAAAAAAAAAAAAGTACAAATCCCCCCAAAAAATTAAAAAATTTAAAAAACAAAAAGTTATAATTTTTTGTTATTGTTCTACTGTTACACCTTTGCTGTTTTATTGTTACTGTTTTATTGTTAACAATTGCTGGCATTCTTTGCAAGAATGCTTTCAGCTGCAGCACCGACCTGTTTATTCTGACAGCAACAGGAACTTGCTCTCAGAATATACATAAATCAATGTGGGCAACGCTGCTGGATGAGATTTGTCATCCACAGTTTAAAAAAGAGCATATATGCTGAAGCATAGGGGCCTGGGGTGGCCAGTGGGTGGATGGTCCCTATGCTTCTGCAGATATACAGTATGCATTGTTTTGCCCTAGGTAGTAGGGATAATCTGTATAATTAACTCAGTTTGTTCTCTAACATAACAATTTTTTAAATATGTTTTGTTGAATCTATGTGAAGTTTTGCTGTATACTGGTGTATGCTTATATCTTACTAGTGCTAGCAGAAATGTGTATTTTCTCAGAACAATGATGTTTTGAATGCCATAATGACCATTGTATTTGTCTCATGAACAGGAGCAAAGCGAGTTCTGGATCTAGATAAGTACAGAGAAGAAAAAGGAAGATCTTTTTTCTCTGACACCATAGGTCATTCACTGGATTATTCCCTGGGAGAAGCTCTCTGGCAATGCTCAAATCTCTTTAGCAATGTTAAGATGAAACTGAGTCACAAGCGTATTATGTTGTTCACCAATGAAGATGATCCACATTCCATTGATTCTGCCAAAACAACACAAGCGAGAGCCAAGGCAAGAGACCTTCGCGAAACTGGTAAGGAAAAAGATGTCGGTAGTTCTGTAGGGTATTTCAAATGTCTCAGAATGCATTTGCATTTCACTTTTTTCAATTTTATTATGTTGCAGCCTAACACCACAGTTGTTAAAATTCATTTGTTTTTCTCCTTAATCTGCACTCAGTACCCCATAATGACAAAGCAAAAACAGAATTTAGAAATGTCTGTAAATTTTATTAAACCTAAAAACAAACCTAATATCACATTGGCATAAGCAATCAAACCCTTTGCAGCAACACTTGAAATTTAGCTCAGGTGCCTCCCATGTCTCTTGATTGTTGCTGAGATGTTTCTACACTTTGATTGGATTCCACCTGTGGTAAATTAAATTGATTGCAAATACATAAGGCTGGCCATACACTATACAATTTTCTGTCCAATTTCTGCCCAATTTCCTTTAGACTTACCTTAGCCTGCCTAATTGGACACAATTGAAAGTGTTGTTAGTTTTGACCTCCTATTACATGGTTTTTGGTAACTCTAAACCAAGAAAATTGTATAATGTATTGCCAGCCTAAGAAAGGAAACAGGAGGCGCCCATCTAACTGCAGCACATAAAAATGTATTTAATGGCAAAGGATTGAAAACACTCACAAGAGTAATTAGAAAACAAGCTCATCTGTGTATATAGGATGATCAGTCCTCAACGTCCTGCAGGCACCACTGGTGGCATGGGGGATGTGTGCTGGGCTGATGGAGTATTAAGAAGGCACAGTAAGAGTCAATCCTGCAGTGTGATGGTGTTGTGTGGCCGATCCAGCAGCGTCTGTACAGGAAGGGACTGTGCAACCAACCTGGAGTACACCAGAAGTGACATCACTGGAAGAGGTGGAGGGTCAGTTGGATCAATAGAAGGACCTAGAGGCTCCGAGCACGTACCCTGCTTTTCCCACGTCTGTGTCTTCTGATCCAACTGACCCTGTGTGTGTGTATATGTGTGTGTGTATATATATATATATATATATATATATATATATATATATATGTGGGTGTATGTGTATATGTATGTATGTGTGTGTGTGTGTGTGTGTGTGTGTAATAAATATAAATATATATATATATATGCAGTTAGGCCCATATATATTTGGTCACAGGCAAACATTTTTGGTTTTATTCAGGTATTTACCAAAACATATTCAAGCTATAGTTTATATAATGATATGGGCTGAAAGTGAACACTCTTGGGTTTAATTTGAGGGTATGTACATCCAAAATGGAGGAATTGTTTAGGAATTACAGCTCTTAAGCGTAACCATCTCCCCTTTTTCAAGGGACCAAAAGTAATTGGACAGTTGAATCAAAAGCTGTTTCATGGTCAGGTGTGGTCTACACCATCATTTCTTCATCAATTAAGCAGGTAAAAGGTCTGGAGTTGTTTTCTAAGTGTGGTATTTGGAATCTATTGCTGTGAACCTGCATCATGCGTTCAAAGGAGCTTTCTATGCAAGTGAAACAGGCCATTGTAAGGATTAATAAAGGAAACAAATCCATTAGAGAGATAGCAGCATCATTAGGAGTGGCCAAATCAACAGTTACATTCTGAGGAAAGAACACACTGGTAAGCTCAGCAATGTAGAAAGGCATGGACATCCACGGAAGACAACAGTGGTGAATGATCGCAGGACCCTCTCTATGGTAAAGAAAAACCCATTCACAACATCCAGAAAAATGAAGGACACTCTCCAGGAGGTGGGTGTATCATTGTTAAAGTCTACAATCAAGAGAAGACTTCAGGAGAGCAAATACAGAGGGTTCACTGCAAGGTGCAAACCATTCATAAGCCTGAAGAATAGAAAAGCCCGATTAGACTTTGCAAAAAAACATCTAAAAAAGCCAGACCAGTTCTGGAAAAGCATTCTTTGGACGGATGAAACTAAGATTAATCTGTAAAAGAATGCTGGGAAGAAAAAAGTGTGGAGAAGGCTTGGAACAGCTCATGATCCAAAGCGCACAACCTCATCTGTAAAACGTGGTGGAGGCAGTGTGATGGCATGGGCATGCATGGCTTCCAGTGGCACTGTCATTGGTGTTTATTGATGATGTGACAGAAGACAAAAGCAGTCGGATGAATTCTGCAGTGTTTAGCGATATACTGTCAGCCCAGATTCAGCCAAATGCAGCAAAGTTGATTGGACGGCGCTTCACAGTATATTATTATTATTATACAGTATTTATAAAGCGCCAATAGTTCGCTCAGCGCTGTACATTACAAAGGGGGACAGAACATGTGACAGAACAATACCAATACAATGCAAAACATGAGGGGATCGAGGGCCCTGCTCTTTCGAGCTTACAATCTAGGAGTATATATGAACAGTGATCCAAAACACACTGCAAAAGCAACCCAGGAGCTTTTGAAGGAAAAAAAGTGGAATATTCTGCAATGGCCGAATCAATCACCTGATCTCAACCCAATTGAGCATGCGTTCCACTTGCTGAAGGCAAAACTAAAGGCAGAAAGACCCACAAAGAACAACTGAAGACATCTGCAGTTAGAGCCTGGCAAAGCAAAAGAAAGGAGAAAACCCAGTCTTTGGTAATGTCCATGGGTTCCAGACTTCAGGCAGTCATTGCTAGTAAAGGATTCTCAACAAAATATTAAAAATGAACATTTTTATGTATGATTATATTCAATTGTTCAATTACTTTTGGTCCCTTGAAAAAGGGGGGGGGGCTACTCTTAAGAGCTGTAATTCCTCCAATTTGGATGTACATACCCTCAAATTAAACCTGAGAGTGTGCACTATCAGCCCATATCCATTATATAACTATAGCTTCAATATGTTTTTTTAAATACCTGAAACAAAAACCTAAAATTCTGCCTGTGTCTAAATAGACGTGTGTGTGTGTGTGTGTGTGTGTGAGGCCTTTACATGCACATTAGTCTGTAGGGTTCAATATTGAGTTGGCCTACCCTTTGCAGCTATCACAACTTGAACTCTTCTAGGAATGCTGTCCACAAGGTTTAGGAGTGTGTCTATGGCAGGGGTCTGCAACCTTTAAGACATAAAGAGCCACTTGGACCCGTTTCCGAAGGGAAAAAAAAGACTGGGAGCCGCAAAACCATTGCAACATTTAAAACAAATCCAACACTGCATATATTGTTTCTTACCTTAATGCTATATACAGGATCGTGCAGTTAGCTGTCAATCTGAAGAAAAAAATAACTTTTCCATAACAATGTAAAATATATTTTTGCACATTAATAGCTAATTAAAATATTTAATTTATCTGGTTAATGGGATTTATTCTCCTGAACCTCAGTGCACAGTGTCTGCATATCAGGGCTGTAAGACGTCACCTTCATTTTCACACAGGCTTGCAAGCTGTCATCTGTGAGGCGTGATCGATGTTTGTTTTTAATATAGTTCATGTTGGAGAAGACCTGCTCACATACATATGTGGAGCCGAAGATCGACAGCACTCCAAATGCATACTTTTTCATGTTTATATAAGTGTTGGGGATAGCATTCCAGGTTTCGAATACAAGTTTGTCCTGTTTGGGAAGGTTTTTAATATCACTCCATTTATGATTCTGTGCCAGAATGGCCTTCTGCCGGGCAACATCCTCAAGAGTAGCGGTCAAGCATTTAAACTTGGACACCCATATATCTTTGTCGGCTATATCGGCCAATTCCAACTCAAGATCAGGTTGACTTACACCTGCAAATGCAGTCATATTCAATAGGGATGGATCGATCGCCAGGGGAATGACAGGGAAGGATAATGTGGTTTTTTCCTCTCTGAACTCACAGAATCGTTTCCCAAACGAACTTTGCATTGTGGTGATTGCAGACTTGAAATATTCCAAATTGATTGTATCATGACTTTGTTTGAACTCTCTCAAAGAGGGAAAGTGAGACAGTGTACCTCTCTGTAAATCTTTGATAAACACTGTCAACTTGCGCTCAAAAGCCAAAACCTCTTCCAGCATGTGCAGAGCTGTGCCTCCTTTCCCCTGAAGGGTTGTATTTAGCGTGTTTAGATGTGCTGTCATGTCTACCATAAAATGTAATTTTTCCAGCCACTCTGGCTGTTCCAGCTCAGCAAAGGTGAGCTCTTTGCTGGCCAGGAAGGTTTTTACTTCTTCTAAACATGTGACAAAGCGTTTTAGCACCTCGCCTCTGGACAGCCACCGAACCTTGTTGTGGAGCAGGAGGTCAGAATATATGCTTTCCACTTCATCCAATAACAAACGGAACTGGCGGTGGTTTAAACCCTTTGCCATTATCTTATTAACAATTTGAATGACCACATCCATCACTTTTGTGCATTCTGGCGGAAATGTTTGAGCACATAATGCCTCTTGGTGCAGGATGCAATGAAATGACAGCAGCGTTCTACCAAGCGCCTTCTGCAGTAGAGCCACAAAGCCCTTCTGTGCACCTCTCATACTCGGTGCCCCATCAGTAGCCACTGAGACCAGGTGTTTGGTGTTTATTTTTTTAGCAGTTAAAAAGTCCAGAACAGCCTTACAGATATCCTCACCTCTTGTTTGGTCTTTTAGTGGTATCAGCTCAATCAGTTCTTCCTGTGGCCCAAAAGAGTTCACATATCGACAGAACAGCGCTATTTGTTCAATATCACCTTTATCTTTGGACTCATCACAGGCGATGGAGTACGCCACAGCTGAATTAATGTCTTGAATTTGCTGTTTGCTAATGTTTTCTGCCATTTTTAGGGTTCTGTCTTTGACAGTCTTCGCAGAGAGTGGCATGTCTTTGATTTTCTGTCCAATTTCATTCTTGTTTTTGAAGTCCATGTATAGATGTTCCGAAATCTTAATGAATGTTTCTTTTATATACTCTCCATCTGTGAAGGGCTTCCCGTGCTTGACTATTTCCTGAGCGGCCACAAAACTAGCATATGTTGTGGAATTTGCAGACTTCACCCACTTCTTGAAATTATTTTTGCTCATATTGACCTTTCTCATAAGTTCTGCAACGGCTTTTCGTCTCTCATCTCCATCTGGATATTT